TAGAAATCAGCAAACAAGATGAAGGCAGGAGACAGGCTGTAGGGATGGACCAAGGTCAGTTTTTTTTTTTTTTTTTTTTTTTTTTTAATCTCTAGGCCATTGGTGAAGGGCATTTTCCTAAGAACAATGGGACTTGGTAGGCTGGTTTTAAGCATGGAAGGGTTTAAATAGATCAAATTGGCTTCCCTGTTGAGTGATAGTTGTAGGAAGCCTTATTCAGAGGTAAGCGATGCTGGTGGTTTGGACAAGGGTGATGTTGGAGAAAGGTGGGTGGATTTTAGAGTAAAATTATCTCATGAATTAAAGTTATCTAGAAATGATGATGGATCTGATTAAGGAATGAAGGGAAGGTAAGGAGTAATTTCAAAAGTAATAATAATAGCTAATATGGTACCAGGCACCATTCTAAAGGCTTTACATATATTAGCTCATTTAATCTATGAAGGAGGAACTATGATTTTCCTCACTTTATACAGGAGTAACTTGAGGCACAAAAAGTTTAAATACCTTGTCCAAGGTTCCACAGCACACAGTCTGAGCTGAGATGTGAACACACAGTCCGAGGTTTAAGTCCTTGTTCTAAACCAGTGATTCTCGAAGGAGACATTTTTGGTTGTCACAGCTGGGGCGGGAGTGCAACTAATATCTAGGGATAGATGCCAGAGATGCTGCTAACTATCCTACAATGCCCAGGACAGTCTCCATGACAAGAAATTACCCAGGCCAAAATGTCACTAGTGCCCAGGTTGAGAAACCCTGTTGTAAATTGCTGCATTATATTAATACTACCTACTGAGAGTAGCCACTAGGCTTCTTAGATAACTGGTTTACCAATACTAGGGGAAGATCAGCTTGAAAGAGACTGAGTTGCTTTCTGAATATATCCAGTTGAGGTCCCTTAGAACACCCAGGAATATAGGGCAAGTAGACTGCTAGATGCTCACTCTGCTCTGTAACACAGAGAGGTCTGGCACTGTTTGGAGGATGTTTCTATTCCTGGCAACTGGATACACCCAAATCACCTTCTGTATTTTTATCTTGTATTTGTTTGTTTGTTTATACCCCCACCCTCTTGGAGAAAGGATGCAAAGCTGCTTTGAAGGATAAGGAACACACAATAGTCTGATGTAAGTTAAAAGTAGGACAAAGGAACACATTCACATCAGGGTGGAGACACAGGATGGTGCCAGCAGTGAGGCTAAAAGAAACCCTAATCCCATTCCAGGTGGCTGCAGGCCTCTTCTTACAATCTTACTGGACTCCTTTAACCCTGTCTCTGCCAAGCTCTCTGCCACCTCTCCAGGAGGTGAACCCCAATTCTTACCTCTTGGCTGCCCGGCAGCTGAGAGGAAAACTGATTGTGCTTACTGTCTTTTAGGTTCCTGGCACACAGTGGGAGAACAATACATACTTGTAGAGAGAATCTCCGGGGATGGGGTTGTGAGCAAGACACAAAGCCTCCCCCATGGAACTTCCTTTTGAATGGGAGAGACAACCCAAAAAGGCAAGCAACCATTGATGTGGGCATTTGTGCTTTGCTTTGCTTATCAGATAATTTAATAACTAGTTCCCAGGCCTCTTTCATGCTATAAAGAAACAAAAAAGGAGCCAAGAAAGAATGATGAGGAGGAGTATGGTGGTTGGGGAAGGCTCTGTGAGAGGAAATGTGCGAGCTGAGCCCTACAAGAGGAGAAGAGACAGACTGTCATAGAGTGAAGTGCAGGCATTCCAACCAGGAAACAGCGTGGACAGATGGCCCGAGACGGGAAACAACCATGGGCTTTGAGAATCCAGGAAGAGGCCAGCAGGCCTGAAGCAGGATGAAGGAAGAGAGAGAGGGTGGGGAAACAGCCAGGGCCTTGTAGGCATAGGAAAGAGTCTGGGTTGTATTTCAAGTGCAGTAGGGAGCTGTGGAAGGACTGCATGTCAAAGATCAACAATTGTCCACAAGTATCTATTCTCCCCTTTGTCATCATTAATAAAATCTACAGAGTTGAACTGGGCACGTGCCTGCCTAGAATAAGAACTTTCCCAGCCTCTTTTGCAGGTGTGGTCATGTGACTTAAGCTCCACCTGCTAACATCTAAGCCCAGGTGGCGTAGGCAACTTCTGAGTAGTATCTTTGAAAGCGGGTCGTGTGACCCCACCTCTCCTTGCTGCTATATGTGGTATAGATTAAATGGCTGGAACTCCAGCACCATCTCAGACTCTAAAGTGATCTTGGAAATAAAAACCAGGATTGGAGGTGCCATGATCTAAACAGAGCCTGGATTCCTGACTCTGCTGAACTGCCATAGTCTCAGGTAGCCAGCTGCTAGATGCTTCAGGGAGGGAGAGAAAAGCATCTATCTTGCTGAAGCCACTGTTAGTTGCATTTGCTGTCACAGCTAAACCTAATTCTAACTGATAGAGGCTTTCAGGAGGAATGACATGGTTCTGCTTATCACATCAGAAGCTCCCTTAGGCCCTGTGAGGAGCATAAGATTGCAAGGGAGTGAATACAGAGCAGGGAGATGGGGGCAGAGGCTGTGGCAACAATCCAGGCAAATGAATAAATGAATGAATTGTAACCGGACTCAGGTTCAGCTGCTCCCTGCTTGAAAGTCAAAACTCAAGAAACAAGACTTGGTGGGAGGAAAAGCAGTTATTCAGAAAGCCAGCAAATCAAGAAGATAGTAGACTAGTGTACTAAAATGCCATCTTAAGTCAGTAAAAATTTCAGGCTCTTTTTTATGTTAAGGGCGGGGAAGAAGAGGGAGTTGGGACAAAGAGGTAACTGAGGACTGCAGACATCTGGGTGCGAGCGAGGGCCTGAGGAGGGTGGGAACCACTTTGTCCTTGGTCAGGTCACAATGCTTCTATAAATCTTTAACAAAACATAGTTGTTTACATACTTTCCCTTCAACCTCAGAGTTAGTTTTAAAAACTACATGATTGCTATTTTTGTGTATTATCTATATGGATCTTTAACAAAACATAATTTTTTACATAATTTCCCTGTAACCCCAGAGTTAGCTTTTAAAACTACATGATTGCTGTTTTTGTGTATTATTTCAGTGCTCTAAAATTATCCTAGCCTACATACAGGAATGGGTAAAAGCCCCTTACACAAAAACGGTGAGTGTTCCTTTGCTGTTTCACTGTTACTGAATGAATGAATGAATGAATGAAAGCATCTCCCAGGGCTGCCTGCTTTCTTACCTTCTCACGTGATCATTCTTTGCCTCTCTGTTTCTTAATGAGCTTTCTGTCCCTTCTTTCTTGCTCTAAGGCCCTGAAGCTCACCAGTGTGATCAGAAGGAGAAAAGGAATGTTCTATCCAGCCCCACACCCCAGCACCTGCTAGGCAACTTTGTCTTTTCTTCCACAAAAGAAAAGAAATCTCCCAAACACAGGAGATGATGGGAAAAGGCATCTCTCTAGGCATTAACCCTGACAGGGCCCATCAGGATTCCCAAATTCCCAATTTATAGACAGGGAAACTGATCCCCAGAGAAGGGAAGGGACTTGCCCATGTCAGTGGGACACAGTATGAAACATAAAAGTGGGAAGAGGGTCTAGAAACCATCCAGCCCTACCGCCTCATTTAGAGAAGGGGAAACTGAGGTCTGGAGAGGGAGAGTTAGTGACAGAGCCACAGCAAGAACTCAGGACAGGGTCAGATGGTGCATGACCAGCTCAGTTACACAAAAGCCTGTGCTAGGGATTTAATGTTCTACTATGGTATCTCAAAATTCCTCATAATCTTATCCCTAAATGTGTGCTTTGTAAATGAAGTCCGTGCAATAACAGAGCAGGCACCCAGGCTAGCAGCCTCAGCTCAAGTGCAGTGTGGCCCCTTCCCCACCAGGTGCGTTCTCAGTGCCAGCTTCCCCCATCCCCTGCTGTCCCCTCCTCACATCCCTTCTTCCCTCTCTTCCCCCAACAGCTGCCACTCTGCTCTCTACAGGGCACTGGCACAGGAGGGTGGATGTGCAGAGCCCACAGAATTTGGGTAGGGCATGAATGCCCCCACGCCTGCCCTAGAGGTAGGTGGTATCATGGTGACTTCACACGGCAACTGATGAGGCAAGCTTTTCCCCTATGCTAGAGTGTCTGACATGGAGGTTGCAAGATGTGGGGGTACCTGTCCACCATGGATTGGAGAGAAGGGTCCATGGGAAAGGAGGATGCCTGGCTCCCCTTCCCTAGTTCCTCTTGCCTCAGTGTAGGGGACCTGGCAGCAGATGGTTACTGGTGGGCCACGCTGCTGGAGAAGGCTCCTGGGTGACTTTGCTCCTGGGTGCTCCTGGGTGCCTGGGAGCTGCAGGCACCTCTCCAGTAGCTCCATGCTCAAAGGAGCATAGCATTAAATAGCAAACACACAGCACAAGAGGGGCCACAGAAGTGGGATGGGGCTTTAGGCTGGAGTTCCTCTCTCCCGCCTGTGGAACAGCAGGTGTGTGTTTGCACGGTGCCCTGGGCTGTCACATTAGGTCGCCGTCCTGACTCTGGACTTCTGTTGCTCTGGCCAGGAGCCCCCAGCCCCGCTGGGCAACACCAATGTATTCACCTTCAGTCTACTGCGTTCCCGGCCCTGTGCTGGGCCCTTTTTCTCTGTGTTCTTGTTTGCAGCCTTGTCATATATAACTCAGTGAGGTTATGCACTATTATTAGACTCATTTTACAGGTGAGGAAAGACAGGTGCCCACAGGCTGAGTTAACTTGGCCACATCCTCCACCTGAGAAGCAGGAGACCCAGGTTCCCCGCCCAGGTGGCCCGGTGCTCCTGTCGTGTCGGACGTGTCGGCAGTCGGGCTGCCAGGGAAGGAAAGCGCAGGGTAGAGGAGCTGGGTTTCGCCGCCTCTCCTCCCCTCCCCGCCTTCCCAGGGAACTCACGCTCCTCCCCTGCACTCCAGCTCCTCCCCAGCTCGCCCTGGGCCCGCTCCGAAGGGAGGAGACCACGTGACCCAGGCCGCCGGTAACCAGGCAACCGTTCCAAGACGCTGCTCTTCGTCCACTCTGGCTTCTGCCTTATTCAATATCCGCCAGGCAGACAAGGCTCCTGGGAGCATCCCTGAAGTAATCGCAAGAAATAAGGCTTGCTGGGGAGGCCTGTAGGGACATCTAATATTCTCTCTCTCTGAACTCTGTGCCCCAAAGTCCTGAACCTGCCTGTTGGGGATTCTGAGGGAATGGTGGAAATCCAGATTCGTTGGAGCCAGAGTTTGCCGTGCGCATGATGGAGGGGGTGTGGGGTATGGGCAGAGGTGGCAAGCGAGGCTTTGTGAAACGTTACACTCTGCCTCCTCAGCTGCAGGCCGTTGCTCTGGGCCGGGAGCCAGCTGCTCCCAAAATGGCCACAATGCCTCAGGAAGGAGGTTGACACCCTGTGCTCTCAGAAGCAGCTGGGAGCTCAGAAGTAGACCTCTATTCATGCAGTTCTGCCTTCTGGGCATGCAATGGATTGCTGCCAACTCCAGTCAGGTGGGATATTAAGGGGGTGACCAAGATTTATTAAGCCCCTGTTGTCTTCCCTAAGCCAGACACTAGGGAGAGAAAAATTAGCAGATCCGACCTAATTCCAGTTTCATAGATGGGAAAATGGAGGCTCAGATAGGCAGAAAGAGTTTCTCTGAATCTGGCTGATGAAAATATCAGCCCTTCCCATTAGCCATGCTGCTTTGACAGAGGAAGAAAGGAACTTCAAGTGCATCTAGACCAGCTCCCTTACTTTACAAAAGAGGAAACCGAAGAATAGGGAGACAAAATGTCCCCTCCTCAGGGTCACACAGCTTGTTTGGCCCCAAAGTCACTTTCTGAATTACTTAGGGGACTCTTAACCCCAGTTATGACCTGTTCTTGGGTTCAGTTTTTGTTTTGTTTTGTTTCATTTGAGACAGGGTCTTGCTCTGTTGCCCAGGCT